GGGAGATGTAGTTTGGCAGGGCACCATAATAATAATAATAATAATAATAATAATAATAATAATAATGTAGTTCATAGTAATTAATAATTATTAATAATAATGGCAGGATTCCACCTAAATATTAGGAAGAGCCTCTTGATATTCAGAGCTTCCTGGCTGTATGACCATCTGTCAAGAGGGATCGGACAGAGCTCTTCTATCACAGCAGAATGGGATTAGATTGGATGGCCGTTGGGATTACCTTCCAACTCTAGAGTTCGATCATATATATCTCTTCCATCTCTCTCTCAATCATATCTATGCCTGACTGGCCATCTGTCAAGAGGGCTTGGTTGGTGTCCTTCCCGGCAAAAGGACCCTCTTTGGGGTCCCTTCCAATTCTACAATTCTGTGTGTGTGTGTGTGTATGGTATGCATATATATGTGTGTGTGTGTAATCTACAGATATATGTATTAGTGTGCGTGTGTTTATTCATATATATGTATATGTGTAGTTTTATGTTTGTGTGTTTATGCTTATGTATATATGTGTGTGTATGTACATATTTGTATATATGTTTATGTATATTTTACCTATGTGTATGTGTACCTGTATATATGTGTGTGTATACATGTCTGTCTGTATATATGTGTATGTATATTTTCACATGTGTGTATGTATTTGTGTGTTTCTGTATATATGTGTATGTATCTGTCTGTAAATATGTTTGTGTATTTGTGTTTGTATTTATATGTCTGTATATATGTGTGTGAATATATATATGTGTGTGTGTGTATGTATATATGTATATATCTGTATGTATATGTCTTCCTGTATGTGTGTGTATTTATATGCCTTTCTAAATGTATGTGTGAATATCTATATGTTTATATACATATGTGTGTGTGTGAATATGTGTGTGTATTTATATGTCTGTTTTTATGTATATGTGAATATGTGTATGTTTATATGTATATATTTGTGTGTGTGTGTGTATTTATATGTATATAAGTGTGTAGGAATATTTAAATGTGAATGTATGTGTGGGTGTTTATACATCGGTCTGTCTATATACGTCTGTGTCTATGTATATGTTTGTGTATGTCTGAGTATATGAGTATGCATATGTGTGTGTGAATATATGTGTATGTGTGTAGTGATTATTTGTGTCCTTCTGGGGCCCAAGCCAACTTGCCAGAAGGACCGTGTGCTTTGAATTCACCTGCAGGCCAGGTGTGTCTGTTTGCCTGCCAGACAGCTGACGTGGCGCCTGGGACAGGGAGGGCGACAGCACCCGCTGTGGAGCAAGAATGACAGGAACTTCTCCTTCAGAGGGACCCCAAGCGGCCATCCAGCCCAGCCCCCTTTTGCAATATAGGGACACCATTCAAGCCCTCCTGACAGACAGCCACCCATCCATGTATATGATAGATATGATTGAGAGAGGTGATAGATATTTAATCCTAGACTTGGAAGGGGTCCCCAAAGGGACATCCAGGCCAGCCATGAGGGAAGGACACCATCCGATCCTTCCCGACAGATGGTCATCCAGCCTCTGCTTCAAAGCCTCCAGAGTTTGCAATCAATTCCAGGTCCTGCATGCCACCAAATATAACAAAAATATAGAAGTGCTAAAATATATCATGTGTTTTTAATATATTGAGTCTTAAATAATCATAGTTGGGGGAGAATGACTTTAATATTTATTTATTTGCGACATTTATATGCCGGCCTTCTTACCCCGAAGGGGATTCAGAGCAGCTTACAAGATACGTATAAATACAATACATTATATTATTAGCATTGCACAATATCAGTATTGAATATTACTATATTGTACTGTACCATTATATTGTAAAATTATTAGTAATACATGTAATATAAATATATAATTATAATATCATATTATTAGTAGTATTATATTGCATTACATTATAATATTATAAATAATATATGTATATACAATATATTATATTATATTATATTACATTATCTTATTAGAATAGCACAGGATCTATTTTCCTGGATTATTCAATTTTCCTGGCGTTGGATTTGGGCATTTCCTTAGGAACAAAAGGCGGAAGGGCGGATGCGAAAGAGGCCTGTTTTTCTCCAGCTGTAACTCTCCCATCGGCTTTCTCTCAATCCTCGCTCGCTGTGCAAATAGACTCGGGTTTATCTTTCCTGGTTATATAAGGCCTCCTTTTTTTTGTCCTTTATGAAAATGCATTGTATTGCCGTAGCAGTGTACCTTGGAGTTGTTTCTAACCAATGAGGCTGAGAGAATGTCAACCCAATGGGCTTTTTTAATAGCAGAGCACAATTCAAACTAATAATAATAATAATAATAATAATAATAATAATACATAGTTGAAATCCATAAATCAAAACATAAGACCATTAATGGCATATATATCTATCTATCTATCTATACACATAATAAAAGTGAAAATATGTTTGTGTGTGATTGGCGTGTCCACTTCCACAGAGAACTATAGCTCCCACTACTCGGGAGACACCATTGGCCCTCCCTCCAATGACACTGCAGGTTATAGTGAGCGCTGTAAACATGTCCAAGAGGCCTGCCAATGTCCTCCACCAACACCACACTGCCCACCACCCAAGTGAAGGCTTTCATATGGGGACAGTATCATCCTAAATTGTATGTGTTTCCTCCACCACAGACATCCCAGTACTTCTGACTCACTCAATTGGTGTGGAATTTGCATGACCCTGCCCACTGCCTCTCCCTTAACCCTTTCCAATTCTTTTCTATGGCACACAGCAAACAGAGGGCTTGATCACCAACTGAATATACTAGAGAGGTTTGGGGAGAATTCAACACGATTTATAGGAGTTGTAGGTACTGGGATGTATAGTTCATCTGCAATCTAAGAGCACTCTGAACTCCAACGATGGACCTGGAACTAACTTGGCAAGCAGAACCCCCATGACCAACAAAACATGCTGGAGATCTTTGGAGGGATTTATAGGAGTTGTAGTTCACCTACATCCAGAGCGCACTATGAACCTAAACAATGATGGATCTGGACCAAATGTGGCATGCATACCCGATATGCCCAAATTTGAATACTGGAGGTTTTGGAGGGGAATTGGCCTGGACAGTTTGGAGTTCTGGGTACTGGAATTTATAGTTCACCTCCAATCAAGGAGCACTCTGAACTCTACCAAGAGGGAGATGGACCAAACTTGGCACACCTCATAACCCCATGGAGGTCTTTGGGGAAAATTCACCTTGATTTGAGGGAGTTGTAGTTCACCTACATCCAGAGGGCACTGTGACCCCAAACACCAATGGATCTGGCACACACACCTGATATGCCGAAATGTGATTACTTTAGGGGTTTGGGGGAAACTGACCTTCCTTTCTGGGAGTTGTAGTTCACCCACAACCAGAGAAATTGTGACCTCCACCAACTATGGACCTGGTCCAAGCTTGGCACATAGAACCCCCATGACTAAGTCAACCTACTGGAGGGGTTTGAGGGGACTAATCCACCCTAGTGGGAGTTGTAGTTTACTCTGGGTAACCAAGCTAGTATTAAAATAATAATAATAATAATAATATAGCTAAAATCTATAGATCAAAACACCATTAAACACATATGAGGCTAATAATAATAATGCATAATTAAAATGCATAGATACAACATAAGGCCATTAAGCACATACATTAAGAGACTAATAATAATAATGATGCATAGTTCAGATCCATGTATCAAAACATAGACATAACACATGCATTAAAAGATCAATAATAATAATAATAATAATAATAATAATAATAATGCATAGGTAAAATACATAGATACCACATAAGACCATTAAATACATATATTAAAAGAATACTGATGGTGAGAATAATATAAATGTAGTTAAATACATTGATTAAAAACATGACTATTAAATGCATACACTAAAAAAACTATTAAACGTACATTTTGGGATCCCCAAAGGCCATGCAGTCTGAACCCTGTTTCTGTTGAAACCCATAGGCACAGCATCCCCGCAAGGTAGGGTTTTGCAATAATGTCGAATATAATAAATATGCCATTATTCCTCTGTCTTTGTTCAGATTCCTGCCCCCGGAACCTGGATTGCACCCTACAGCGGAGGGAGTTCTGCTTGCCCGGGTCTGGCACCTGCGGCCCCTGCCTGCCCCAGTTCACAGAGGATGCAGAGGGGAGATGCACCCCGAAGACCCCCGCAATGGCCGCCGCAGGTAGCAACCCATTTCTCCTTAGAGTCTTCTCTTTACTCAGAGGCTGGCTGGGTGGTCCTCTGTTGGGAGGGGTTTAGTTATGCCTTCCTGCCTGGTTGAATGGTTGGGCTGGACTAAGTGACCTTCAGGGGTCCCTTCCAACACTATATATCAATATAGATCTCTCTGTCTCGCAATCCTATCTATCATATATATGGCTGGATGGCCATCTATCAGGAAGGTTTGGTTTGTGCCTTGCTTTGTGGCAGAAGGAGTTGGATTGGCTGGCCCTTGGGGGTCCCTTTCAACACTGGGATTATATATCTATCATATACATATATCTTGTGTTTATTGTCTACTTGTGAGTTATATTAATTATATTGTTTATTTTGTTTATTGCTTGTTATTTTATTACTGCTTGCTGTTTTTGATGTGTTGTTGTGCTTGGCCTCATGTAAGCCGCTCCGAGTCCCTTGGGGAGATGGTGGTGGGGTATAAATAAAGTTATTATTTTTATTATTATTATCATCATCATCATCATCTCAATTTTATCTATCTATCTTTCTCTATGGTTAGATGGCCATCTGTTGGGAGGGTTTGGTTCGTGCCTTGCTTTGTGGCAGAAGGGGTTGGATTGGATGGCCCTTGGAGGTCCCTTTTAACTCTAGAATTATATATCTATCGTATACATATATCTATCTCAATTGTATCTCTATCATATCTATAGTTAGATGGCCATCTGTTGGGAGGGTTTGTTTGGTGCCTTCCTTTATGGCAGAAGGGATTGGACTGGATGACCCTTGGGGGTCCCTTTCAACTCTGGGATTATATATCTACCTTATACATATATCTATCTCAATTCTATCGATCTATCTCTATTGTTAGATGGCCATCTGTTGGGAGGGTTTGATTGTGGCCTCCTTTGTGGCAGAAGGGGTTGGATTGGATGGCCTTTAAGGGTGCCTTCCAACTCTAGGATTCTCTATCATATATAGATATCTATCTATCATATCTATGGCTAGATGGCCATCTGTTGGGTTGGTTTGGTTGGTGCCTTCGTTTATGGTAGAAGGGGTTGGACTATATGGCCTCCAGAGGTACCTTCCAGATCTAAGATTCTCTATCTATGATATACAGCTCTATCTCCATCACGTCTATCTATGATTCTGTGATATAGCTATCATATATATAAACACACAAATCATATCTATCTTTCTATCCATAGCTAGATGTCCATCTGTCATGGGGCTTTGGTTAGTGTCTTCCTTTATAGCAGAAGGGGTTGGACTGGATGGCCCTTGGGGGTGTCTTCCAACTCTAGGGTTATATAGCTATCATATTCAGATATCTGTCTCAGTCGTATCTATCTTGTCATATCTATGGCTGGTTGTCACTAGGACTTTAGTTGTATCTCCATGCATAATGATGAAAGGGTTGGGCTGGACTAGATGACCCTTTGGCGTCCCTTTCCACTCTTTGATTCAGCTCAACAATACCAAATTATTTCTGGTGTGTCGCCAAAATAAATGGATTTGTTTAATATATTTGATCATTGTGTGATGCTTAAATATATGTAATCTTCTTGACCCCTTGTCCGTTTTGGGTTTTAGTGCGAGCTTCGCTACCCAACCTAGAGGAAGAAATTGATCTGGTGGCGAATGCCGCCAGCCAGATCCACCTGCGCCAAAATGGTAAGATTATGAATCTTAATAATAATAATAATATATTGAATATTCATGATATTAATAATAATAATGGGGCTTTATTCAGAGCTCTCTTAAGAGATGTGCCCCAGAGCAGCAATATGTTATATCTATATTATGTTCTGTAAGTAACTAATTCAGACATCGATTCTTCCTTCCTTTGCTTTCTCTATCTCTCCCCACTACGGTTGTGTTTTGGAGGGACAGGAACTACAACTCCCAGGAGCCCGCCATCCAGGGTCGGCGCGCAAAAGAGCCGGAAGGGAAGTCCCGCCGCCACGGCACCCGTCGAAAGCTCTCCGGTGGAATCGCCCCGACTGTCCTCCAACGATGCCCTCATCCTGGGTGAGTCACACTCTCTCAGCTTGGGGTCAGCCCCGAAAAACGCCAATTAGTAATAATAATCAGAAGAAAAAATTGTGTGTGCGAATTATATACAATATTATATTGATTATATTACCTATTATCTATCTATCTATCTATCTATCTATCTATCTATCTATCTATACACATAATAAAATAGGTGTGTATGTGGCAGAGGTGTCCACTTACACAGACAGTCTATAATTCCAAGTACTGAGAAGCCTCCAAAAGCACTCCCTCCACTGACATTACAGGTTAGAGCGAGCACCATAAACATGTAGCCCAAACACTGCCAATGTCCTCCCCAAACACTACGGCCCACCACCTAAGGAATGCTTTCATTCCGGGACACTTTCATCCTAGATATGACTGTGTTTCCTCCACCACAAGCAGGTATTCCAGGGTTCCTTGTGTGGAATTTGCATGACCCCGCCCACTGCCTCTCCCTCCCCTCTTTCCTACCCTTTCCCATGGCACACAACAAACACAGTCTGGAGGGGTCCGACAATGGGCCAAACTTGGCACAGAGAAGCCCCATTACCAACTGAACATACTTCAGGGATTTCGGGGAAATGACCTTGATTTTGGGAGGTGTAGTTCACCCGCATCTCGAGAGTACTCAACCCAGCTAATGACAGATCTGGACCACATTTGGCACACAGACCCAACCTGACCAACTGTAAATACTGGCTGGGTTTGGGGGTGATTGTCCTGGTAATCTGGGAGTTGTAGTTCACCCTTATCCAGATAGCACTGAACCCAGTCGACAACAGATCTGGACCACACTTGGCACACAGACCCAACATAGCCAACTGTAAATACTGGCTTGGTTTAGGAGCGATTGACCTGGTATCTGGGAGTTGTAGTTCACCCTTATCCAGATAGCACTGAACCCAGTCAACGACAGATCTGGACCAAACTTGGCACACAGACCCAACATAGCCAACTGTAAATACTGGCTTGATTTGGGAGTGATTGACCTGGTAATCTGGGAGTTGTAGTTCACCCTTATCCAGATAGCACTGAACCCAGTTGACGAATGATCTGGACCAACATGGCCAACTGTACATATAGGCCTGGTTTGAGGAGGTTTGACACACGATTCTGGGAATTGTAGTTCACCCACATTTTTACGTATTTTGTAATGGGAGCATTCATAAAAAACGCAATCACATTCTGGCTTTTTCCTAATGCCAAACACCCCAAAACAAACACCCCAAATGACCCGGGCATCGCTGGGTGCCCAATCTAGAAATATATATATTACTAATATATTATAATATATAATACTACTAATAAGATGATATTATAATTATGTATTTATATTACATGTAATGTTACTAATAATATTGCAATATAATGGTATAGTACAATATAGTAACATTTAATACTGGTATTGTACTATGCTAATAATATATTGTATGTATATATATCTTCTAAGCTGCTCTGAGTCCCCTTCGGGGTGAGAAGGGCGGCATATAAATGTCGTAAATAAATAAATAATGTAATATAATAATAATGTAGAAATATCAGTCTCACAAAGAGCACAATTATTATTTCTCTTTAAAAAAAAAACAGCCATCAGAATAATCCCATTTAATACTATTGTTCCCAGTCCAATCCCAGACCACTCTAGGGGGATTATGGGAGTAATATAATATATCATATTATTATTATTATTATTATTATTATTATTATTATTATTGTCGTAATAATATCTCTCAGTCTTACAAATATCACAATCATTATTATTCCTAAAAAGCTGCCATCAGAATAACGCCATTTCCAGTCTCCCTGGCCAGTCTAGGGGGATGATGGGAGTTGTGATCCAACCCAACATCTGAGCTGATGGATCTGGGCCAGAGCCTTAATTCCCTTCTCCTTCCTCCGCCTCGCAGGGATGATTGTCGTCTGTACAGCCGCAGGCATCGCAGCTTTGGTGGTGGCTGCCGTTTGCTGGTGCAGGTAATGTCCATATCGATGGCTCATTTGAATATTCAGATGTGTTAATGTAAATACTCAATTCTGTTAGATATTTTGGCATATAAATTGAATATGAATATGTAAATTTGAATAATCAAGTGCTTTGAACATGTCAGTGTGAATATTTTGACTAAATTTGAATGGTCAAATATATAAATTTGAATAATTTGAACATGGAAATTTTAATATTTGACAATATATATTTTATTATTTGGAACATGTAAATTCAGATATTTGATTGTGTAAATCTGAGACTGTTTTGGAGATGTAGCATTCAGTATTTTAAATTCGTACGTTTAAATATTTGGATATGTAAACATGTAAAATATTTTGAATATGTAAGCTTGAATATTTTGACTAAATTTGAATGAATTTGAATAGTCAAATATATAAATTTGAATATTTGGAACATGTAAATTCAGATATTTGTGTAAATTTGAGACTATTTTGGAGATGTAGTGTTCAGTATTTTGAATCCATACGTTTAAATATTTGGATATGTAAACATGAAAAATATTTTGAAATGTGTAAGCTTGAATATTTTGACTAAATTTGAAGATGTGAATTCAAATGGTCAAGTATATACATTTGAATGTTTTCAGCATGTAAATTTCAATATGTAAATTCAAAGATGCAAATTTGAATATTCAAATATGTGAATTTGAATATTCTGACCATGCAAATTTGAAGATTCAGCTCTGAAAATTTTAATATTTTGAACATGCAAAGTATATACATTTAAATGTTTTCAACATGTAAATTTGAATATGTAAATTCAAAGATGCAAATTTGAATATTCAAATGTGTGAATTTGAATATTCTGACCATGCAGATTTGAAGATTCAACTCTGAAAATTTTAATATTTTGAACATGCAAATTTGAATGTTCAAAAGTGTATATTTTGAATATGTAAATTTTGGTATTTGAATATGTAAATTTTCCACTGTGCAGGGAAAGTGGGTGGGTGGGTTTCCCAGTTCCAGTGAACTCCTCCAGGGGTCTTTGTGGGTTTTCATAGAAGATGCCCTAGGAAGGAGGCTGACCCGGAATGCTATGCAATGCCATGCAGTGCCATGCAATGCCATGCTAAGCCATGTGACTCTGTGCCTGTCCTTCCTCCCAAAGGCTGCAGAAGGAGCTGCGTCTGGCCCAGAAGGCAGACTACCTGACCCAGAGGGTTCCTGGCCCACCATCCTACGACGCCGTTTCGGTACGAGGTCTTCCACATCCCTTGGAGGCTGGCTTTGCTGCATGTCCTTGGTGCGCTACAAATCCCGTCCTGTGTGCATTTATTTATTCTCTCTTTCTTTTCAAAGCCTGGGGATAAGAAGCTGGCTCAAAGCGCCCAGATGTTCCACTATCAGCACCAGAAGCAACAGATGCTCTCCGTCGAAAAGTGAGTTCTAGCATGTGCTGCATTTCAGGGGAAGAGCACAGCCATTCATTCAAACCCAATATGGTCCCTGCTAAAAGTCACACTCTCTCAGCCTCATAAGGAGGCAATGATGGCAAGCATGCAAATTTTATGCTCCTATTATTATTATTATTATTATTATTATTATTATTATTATTATTATTATTATACTATATTATTATATCACACTCTCTCAGCCTCATAAGGAAGCAATGGTGGCAAGCATGCAAATATTATGCTATTACTATTATTATCATTATATTTTATTATTGTATTATATTATTATTATATTATTATTATTGTATTTTATTATTTTTACTTATATTATTATTATGTGGTATTATATTATATTATAGTAAAGCACTGAGCTGCTGAGCTTGTTGATCGAAAGGTCTCAGGTTCGATTCCGGGAAGCAGCGTGAGCTACCGCTGTCAGCCCTAGCTTCTGCCAACCTAGCAGTTCGAAAACATGCAAATGTGAGTAGATGAATAGGTACCGCTCCAGCGGGAAGTTAAACGGCAGTCATGCTGGCCACATGACCTTGGAGGTGTCTACGGACAATGCTGCTCTTCGGCTTAGAAACGGAGATGAGAACCACACCCCAGAGTTGGACACGACTGGACTTAATGTCAGGGCTACCTTTACCTTTATCTTATTAGTATATTACATTTATTGTATTAATTATTGTATTAATTAATATTGTATTAATTATTATAGTTAATGTATTAGATAATAATTGATATATCAAATATTAATTATTATGTTTAATGTGTTATATTAAGTATTATATAATATTATATGGTGACGGAACCCACTTGGGAAGGTCACACTCTCTCAGCCTCAAAGCAAACCCAGTCTAAATACTCAGGGTCTCCTTTAGAAGAGCCTATTTTATTTTTAGAGGATAAGACTATAATTCTAGGAGACTTGAGCCCGGATCCCACTCATCCCTTGGGCAAGTCACACTCTCTCGGCCTCTGGAGAAGAGAAATAGCAAAGCTAGCCCTGTTAGCCTGCCTCCAAATTCCTGTCCATTCCTTAAAAAGAAGGGGGACTTGGATTGGGCACTACCTTCTCAGACTGAGAGCTCTCCTCGGTCCCGATCCGCAGGCAGAAGGAGGAGACCAAGCCCCCCGAATCGGCTTCTTCAGACGAAGAGAATGAGGATGGTGACTTCACGGTCTATGAATGCCCTGGATTGGCACCCGTGAGTAGCTCTGAGGGGATAATGGATCCCTGCCACTCCCTGGCAGTGCTCCTTGGGCAGGCTGTCATCGCGGTTCCTTCATACCATTCCCTCTTTCCTCCTCTTCCACTTCCTTCCATCCATCCATCCTTCCTTCCCTCATTCCTCCTCTCCTTCCGTCCTTCCTTCCTTCCTTCCCTCCCTTTCCCTCATACACCCTCCCTCCCTCCCTATTCTTTTAGTTCCACATGTTTGTTATAATTAATCTCCAACTTATACTCACTTCATATGTTAATGACAATAAATACCCTCGACTTTACTAATAACACTCAATTCACTTAATTTAATATTTTATTATAGTTTTCAGTTATAGTTTTTTCTCAATTAATATCCCATGTATACTTTATTAACATCTAATAAATAATCGATTTTATTAATAATTTATTATTAGATTTTAAATGTTTTCTCATTCATCAAAATTATCATCTTAATTGAAATGCTTTAATAACATAATTCCTTTATATACATTAGATTTACAATACACTTCACTCAGCACGCATAATTAACATAATACCTCTTCTTTTAATTGCTTTTCCTAATTCATCTCCCTTATAATTCCTTCTTCCTTCCATCAGCTTTACCTCATAACCCTTCCACTCACCCTTAAATTATTCATAATTCTTCCTTCATTACATTTTTTTTTTACCTTTTTTTTTTTTCACATTTTTACTTACTCCTTTATCTTTCCCTTTTCTTCATTCATCACCCCATACTCTTAATTCCTTCCCTCATTCCTTTTCCTCCTCTCCTTCCTTTCTTCCTTCCCTCTTTTCCTTGCTTTTCCTCATTCTTCTCTCCCTTTTCTTCCTTCCTCCCTCCCCTCCCCTGCTTTCCCTCATACCCCTTTCCCCTCTTCTTTCTTTTTCTTTCCTTTCTCTTCCCTTCCTTTCTCTACTTCCTTATCTGCATACCTTTTCCCTTTCTTCCTTTGTTTTGCCTGCTTTTTTCTCTTTCCTCTCTTTTATTCTTTCTTTTCTCCTCCTTCCCTTCATCCCATACCTTTTCCCCTTTCCTTTCTCTTCCCTTCTTTTTCTTTCTTTCTCCTTCTCTTCCTCCTCCTTTCTTTTTCTTTCCTTGCTTTCCCTCGCAACCTTCTCCCTCTCTTTCTTTCCTTTTACTTCCCTTCTTTTCCTTCCTTCCTTCTATGCTTCCTTCCTTCTCTCCCTTACTTTACTAAGTTAAGTAAGTTTCCCTTCCTTATTTTCCCCTTCCCTTCTTTTTCTTTCTACCCCGACCTTCCTTCTCCCTTGTTTTCTTCATTTTCATTCCCTTCATTTCCTTCCCTTCTTTCTCTTCCTGGCCTTCCCTGCCATACCTTTTTGCTTTTCCCTTCTTTTTCTTTCCTCCCTTCTTTCCCAGTGAGCTACTTTGCCTAGCAACAGCTGACCCTTTACCCAGCCGCAGCCAATCCATTTCCTTCCTTCCCAGTGATGTCACAGATGGAAACAGCAACAGCCAATGCACATCCTTCCAGTACTTTCACTTTGCTCTGGGCACAAAGAGGGTGGTTCTTGTAGTCCAAACCCATCATTCTTTTAAGTTGGGTCATGAGGGAGATCTGTGCCAAGTTTGGTCCAGATCCACCAAGCCCTGGAAGGATCTTTTGGGAAACAAACAAACACACGAACGGATCTAGATTTGGAATTCAATTAATCATATCTTTGTCCCTTTTCCATCCTCCCTTTGCAACCCTTTCCTCCCAAAACGACAGACCGGCGAAATGGAGGTGAAGAACCCGCTTTTCGACGACGCTTCCTTGCACCCACCGCTTCCTCTTCCTCCTTCACGCAAACCGCACCCGTGACCCAGCGAACTTTGACCCCGAAATGCAGGACTGGCCTCCTTCTTCGTCCCCCCAATAACTTTGCAGCAAACCCTTGGAGGTTAATTCCATCCCGCTGGCGAGAAAAAACATCATAACGTCTGAGTTCTAGGTTCTGGGTTCTAGGTTCTGGGTTCCGATCCTCCCGCTTTGGCTGCAAAAAAAGAGAAAAGAAATGGGATTTTGGGGTGGGGGGCAATAAGAGGAGGAAATATCAGGATTTTGGGGGAATCAGAGGAATACATTTAGAGGCAAACTCACCCGCTTTCCATTGCAGAGACTGAGAGCTTCAAATGTGCATTAAAAGGGAAATATACAATAGTAATAATATATTATATATTATTATAATATATAATAATATATTATAATATATATTATGTATCACTTTTGATGTTCATAATAATAATAGTAATAATGATACTATATTATTATTATTATTATTATTATTATTATTATTATTATTATTATTATTATTATATGTAAGCCTGGCAGAAATCATCACTTAAATCCAATGGTTGCTTTTCTCTTTCTTTCTCTCTCTCTTCCTTCCGCACTTTTGGCATCAGATGCCTTGCAAAGCCCTCAGCACACCAATCAGATTGATTCCTTCCATGTAATAATAGAATAAAATTAAAACTTTGCCGACGGTTCCTGGAAACTATATTTCCCGGTTCTTTGCAAACCGTTTACCCCCACTTTTCCCCATGTAAATTTAATTTTGGGGGACAATTCTGCAGTTTACCTTGTAGATTAGTAGGTCAAAATTAAGCAGGAAAGAGATATAAATATTAATTATAATACTCATCATAATATTGCAACTCCCATCATCCTTCACTGGTTTGGAGCTGATGGGATTCTCAATTCGATGTTGCTGGTTTCTCTTCTCGGTGAATCCTCTCCCGTGTTTAGTCTGAACGTCAATGGTGGTAACAATTCAAATCCACTTTGGACATCATCATAATATACTTTATTTATATTCCACCCTATCTCCCCGAGCAGACTCCAGAACACATATACGGCAAACATTCAGTGCCATTATGTAATTAACAAGAACAGACAATACATAAACAGAAGTAAAGGCTTTTCCCATATTTTCAATTTTCGGCATCTGGAGGTTGTGCTCGTTCCAGCCACAGGGGGTGCTGTTGCTCCATCTTCTATGCCGAGGAGCTTTGTTGTCCTTAGGCGTCCTTCCGGTTCTTATGGGCGCCTTTTATTACCTCCCTGCTTAAAGCAGTACCTATTTATCTACTCACATTTCTGTTTTCAATTTGCTAGGTGGGCAGAAGCTGGGGCTGACAGTGGGTGCTCACCCCAACCCGAGCTTGAACTGCCAACCTTTCAATCAGCAGTATTTTCTGCAGCTTAGCAGTTTAGCCTGCTGTGCTAAGCCCAACTCCTTTTAATACAAAACTTGGGACTTTGCTTTGTGGCGAAAAGCAGAACGGAACCAAAGAGATATTAATGTCACATCCATAGCCCTTATTGGTATTGAGTACTGCAGCTCCCATTATCCCTTACAATTGGCTGGGCAAGGGAGAGAGAGTGAGAGATTGGGATATATTTATTTCTGGGGCATTTGTTGGAAATTGATCTAATGTTGGAAACGAAGCTGGGTTGGTTCTGATCAGTCGTTGAATAGGAAATAAGAGAAGCTCATATTGGCTGTAATAGATGGATCCAATGCCTTTGCTTTGCTTTTTGGGATTCAAAATCACTTTAAATTGGTTCCTAAGCAACCAAGTGCCGAAGGGGACAATGGGACTCGAACCTGCAACCCCTGAGCCCCAAAATACATTGGCCGGGACCCAGGAAGACTTTTGTCGGGTATTAATGGTGAATCTAGTGTGGAGTAGTGGCTTTCTGGTGCAAGGAAGTGATGCACAAGTGTTGTGTCCAAGTGTGAGTGTGCAAGCATGCCCTGTTTTCCATGCATTTTCTAGTTAGTGTGCACAATGGAGTGCCTGACTTGCACAGAGGCACAGGAGTGCATGTGAGAAGTGTGCAAACGTGCAAGGCTTATGCACTGCAGTGAAGTGTGCATGAAGGGGTGTCATGGAAGCATGCGGGAGTATGCAAATGTGAAGATTGTGTATTACCATTGGAGGGTTGCAGATGTGTGCAAAACAAAGTGTGAGCACTTAAAATGCATGTGAGAAACATGTAAACATGCAGGGCTTATACACTGCGGTGCAGTGTGCACGAGGGGGTGTCGTGAAAGCACACGGGGATGTGCAAATGTGCAGTTTGTGCATTACCTTTGTGGGTGCATAAAAGCACAGAGGAGTGTGGAGACGTGAAACACTTATGCATTTCAGTGGGTTTTAAGTGCACACGAAGGAGTGTTGAGAATGCACGGAAGCACACAAGTGTGCAAACGTGCAACCTTTTTGTGTGTTGCAGCGGAGTGAAGTCAGCACGAGGGAGAATTGTGCAAAGCACATGGAGATAAGTGTGCAAACGTGCAACATTATGCATTCAGTGCAAGAGGGAACACTGCTGTAATGGAAGCTTGACTACTACTACTGTTATTGTTATTATTATTATTATTTGTGTTACTCTGGCTGCAGCGAAAACAACACTTACCCTAAGCATGCATTTCAGTGCACAGATTTTGCACAACTAGCAAAGGGGGGAAAGCAGGGAAGACAACGCTGTGCTTTAATTTGGGGGGAGGGGTGTTCCTCTCTTTTCTTTTTTCTTTCTGTTTCACTCTTTCGCTCCGAACCGATTCTTGTACGGACTCCGTTTAGTACCACTTTCAGAAGCGCAAACTTTTATTAAAATGACCTGATTTCAAAATGTTTTGTGGTTGCTTGGTTTTGATTTACATCCAATGGGACAAATGAATTGCTATTTGTATTGTATTTTAAGACATGTTTCTCTCTATTCTATGAGCGCATTTACACCAGGCTTGGGCAAGTGTGCCCAGGCCTGATTTACACCATAGAGTTAATGCCCAGAGCAGTTTAAATGGCATCAACCCAAGTCAGTAAACAAAGGAATCCATTCCGGGTTTTATTCCAGGCCGTAAGTGAACTCTCCAAGGTCCTGGCCAGGAGGTTCAGTACATTGGGGAGCTCAGGGTTTCCGCAAAACCCGGACTGGATTTCCAATCATTTCCAGATTACCTTTCCTTGTTGAGTGGAATTTTGATTTCGGACGCAATGTCCTCACTATAATTCCTTCCCAATAGCAGCATCATCCCCTTCCATTTTATACAGTATATATTTTATATGGTTTGCAATTGGGCTTGGAGAATTCTGCTTCCAACCTGCAGGTGGTGCCAAAGAGCCAAATTTTGAGACCAAAAGGAAGTATTTTCTCCAAAAGAGAGATGCTGGGGGCTGTAGTCCAACTTATTTGCATGAGCTGCTGAGGACCATTCCCAACCAGAAGTAAGATCACGGAGATGAGGAATGCTATTCCTAAGCAGGAACGACAGGATGCTGAGCATTGCAGTCCAATATTCCTGGTGCAGCACACTGGAGAAAAGATTGATGAACTGTATGATGGGTGTTGCAGTCCCAATCTTCCAGGAACAACACATTGGGTTTGTGAGAATTGTGAACGGGGTGATGGGTGTTGCAGTCCCAAACTTCCAGGAGCAACACATTGGGTTTGTGAGAATGCTGATGAACGGGGTGATGGGTGTTGTAGTCCAATGTTCCAGGAGCAAGTCATTGGGTATGAGGAAATGCTGATGAACAGGAGTGATGGATATTGTAGTCCAATATTCCAGAAGCAGTACACTAGTTTTGAGAGAATGTTGACAGATGGGGTGATGGGTGTTTGTGGTCCAATGTTCCAGGAGCAACACATTGGTTTTGAGAGTGCTGATGAATGGGGTGATGGGTGTTGTAGTCCAATCTTCCAGAAGCAACATACTGGGTTTGAGAGAATGCTGATGAAAAGGGGGTAATGAGTGTTGTAGTTCAATCTTCCAGGAGAAAAACGCTGGAATGCTGGAATGCTGATGAATGGGGGTGATGGGTGTTGTAATCCAATGTTCCAGTAGCAATATGTTAGGTCAGAGGGAAGGCTGGTGATGGGTTTTGTAGTCCACGAAATTTACGAAATGGGCTCACTGTCTATTTTTGGGCAGCGAAGAAAGAGAAATGCAAAGACAGGAACAAATCGCACTTTTTTGCATTGTGTTTCTGCACACAAGCAGATTTAAGTGTCTGCGCTGATATTATTCTTATGTGCACCTTGCTTACTTCCTGGAACCAAAATGTCTTTTCCTGTTTTCCCTTTCTACACCCAATTCTTACCAAACCCAGTTGTGCAAACAGGGCTGGTGCTTCCTCCCTCCCCGCCTTGCAAAGAGATAACCGTTTAGAAGAGAGATATAAGAGATAACCCTTGGGTTACATGTCTGTTAGCATAGAAAGGCATTGAAAGGTACTTTGAAATGGACTGGAGGGCCCTATTTAAGGTTCAGTGGTATAATTTCCCTCTCAATCCTATCATATCTATGGCCGGCTCTCTATGACTGGATGGCCATTCGTTGGTAGGGATCGGGTGATGCCTTCCTTTATCTCACAAACTCACACATATATCTACCTTATCCATGGCTGGATGGCCCTCTGTCGGGAGGGATCGGATGGTGCCTTCCTTTATGGCAGAAGGGGCTTGAACTAGATGGCCTTTAGGGGTCCCCTCCAAAAGTTCTATCGTATATCTATCATCCCTTCTCTCAATGCTATTGTATCTGTGGCTATGTATCTATGGCTAGATGGATCTCTGTTGGAAGGGATCAGATGGTGCCTTCCTTTTTGACAGAAGGGGCTTGGACTGGATGGCCTTTAGGGGTCCCTTTCTATAATCTCTTCTCTCAATGGTACTGTATCTGTGGCTATGTATCTATGACTGAGTGGCCCTCTGTCAGGAGGGATCAGACTGTGCCTTTATGGCCGAAGGGGCTTGGCTATGTATCTATGGCTAGATGGACCTCTGTTGGGAAGGATTTAATGGTGCCTTTCTTTTTCTTATATATATACACACACCCATATACATGTTTACCTACCTTATGTATGAGTAAGTGTCCATTTGTCGTGAGGGATCGGATGGTGCCTTCCTTTATGGCAGAAGGAGTTTTGACTAGATGGCCTTTAGGGGTCCCTTCCAACTCTAGGGTTCTATGACACATCTATAATCTCTTCTCTCACAATTATATTGTATTTGAAGCTATGTGCCTATGACTGAGTGGCCCTCTGTCAGGAGAGATCAGACTGTGCCTTTATGGCAGAAGGGGCTTGGCCTTTAGCGGTCCCTTCCAACTCTAGGGTTCTATGACATATCTATAATCTCTTATCTCCCAATTATATAGTATTTGAGGTTATGTATCTAGAGCTAGATAGACCTCTGTTGGGAGGGATTGGATGGCAGAAGGAGATTGAACTAGATGGCCTTTAGGGGTTCCTTTCAACACTAGGGTTCTATGACATATCTCTTCTCTCACAGTGATACTGTATTTGAGGTTATATATCTATGGATATATGGACCTCTGTTGGGAAGGATCGGATGGTGCCTGAGTCCCTCTGGGGAGAGGGTGGGTGACAAATAAAATATTATGTTATTATTCCTTTATGGCAGAAGGGCTTGGACTAGATGACCTTTAGGGGTCCCTTCCAACCCTTGGATCCCCTCACTCTCAGTCCTGCCTCTCTACGGCTGGGTGGCCCTCTGTTAGGAGGGATCGGATTGTGCCTGAGCCCTTCTTGGGAGAGAGGGCGGGTTACAAATATTATATTATTGTTCCTCTATGGCAGAAGGGGCTTGGACTAGATGGCCTTTAGGGGTCCCTTCCAACTCTAGGGTTCTATGACATATCTATAATTTCTTATCTCACAATAATACTGTATTTGAGGTCCATCTATGGATAGATGGACCTCTGTGGGAAGGATCAGATGATGCCTAAGTCCCTCTGGGGAGACAGGGTGGGTTACAAATAAAATATTATTATATTATTGTTCCTTTATGGCAGAAGAGCTTGGACTGGATGACCTTTAGGTGTCTCTTCCAACTCTAGGGTCCCCCCACTCTCAGTCCTGCCTCTCTATGGCTGGGTGGCCCTCTATCAGGAGGGATCAGATAGTGCCTGAGCCCCTTTGAGAAGAGAGGGCGGGTTACAAATATTATATTATTGTTCCTCTATGGCAGAAGGGGCTTCGACTAGATGGCCTTTAGGGGTCCCTTCCAACTCTCAGTCCTGTCTCTCTACAGCTGGGTGGCCCTCTGTTGGGAGGGATCGGGCAGTGTCCATAACCAAGGACCCACCTCTGGGGCCAGGCCCCTTCTGCTGCAGGCGTGGGTAGTGAGCACAGATGGTGCAGAAGCGCTCCCTCCAATCCTGGTAGGTCTTGACTGCATGGTGCTTCCTCCAAGCGAAGAAGCCCCGGTAGATGTCCTCCTCCATGTTGAGGAGGAAGTGGGCCAGGCCTTGGATGGAGGGAAAGTCGTCCAGGTGGAGGAAGGCCCCGCCGGGGAGGAAGGCCTCGTAGTTGTCCCGAGGGGGGCCCAGGACGATGGGGACGCTGCCGGCCTGCAGGGCATTGCGCCAGAGCTTCTCAGTGATGTAATCCTGGTGGAGGGCATTCTCGAAGGCCAGGTAGAACCTGTACCTGGAGATGGTGGGCAGGAGGTCCTCCGGGGCCAAGGGCCGGCCGGCCGCTCGACCAAAGACGTCCACCTTGATGTGCTTGGAGAGCTCATAGTAGGCTTTGGCCCGCGCCTGTGTCCGGCGGAAGTGGCTGACCACCCAGACCACCAGACCGGACTTTTCAGGGATGTCCACTTCTCCGTCCCCTGGTGGTCTTGGCACAAGCTTCCCATAAGGCATGAAGATATCCGAATTGCGACGATAAGTCATGACCCAGGTCCAGTCCGCTTCTGAGCCGTTGCCCTTGGTGTGCTCTGGACACTCCAAGGAGACCCAGACCCAGCTTTGTCCAGAGTGGCCTTTGGCCTGTGGAGGGGGTGAGTGACGCAGTTCCCGGTGGTGGAAGACGGCCACCTCGGCCCGGCCATAAACGTTCCGGTCAGTGGTCAAGCGGCAGCCCTCGAGGCCAAAGAGTTGGGAGCAGACATCGCCCGAGAGGTCCGGGGTTTGGCCATCAGGCCATTTCCATACCAGGACAGTCAAGGGGTCACTGCCGCCGGTCAAAAGTTCATTCAAAGTCAAGGCCAACGAGAAGAGGCTCCCGAAGAGGATGGTCACTGCAAAGGGGAGCTCCATGGCCGGAATGGGGCCGAGGCTTCGGTCTTTTCTCTTTCCTCGGTCAGGAAATGCAAGCAAAGGGCCCTTGTGAAAGGATTTTACTCACTAGGGTGCCTTGCACAACACTGTGGCGTCACCCTGCACTATCTCAGATCTTGTCTCTCTGGGCGTATCCGCACTGTAGGATATGATGTGGTTTGATACCACTTTAACCGCCAGGGCCCACTGCTATAGAACCCTGGGAGCTGTAGTTTGGCAAGGGCTGCGTCTCAACACTGTAGAGCAGGCATGAGCAAACTTAGGCCCTCCAGGTGTTTTGGACTTCAATTCCCACAATTCCTAATATTACATGTTACTGTATTGTACTATACTGCAATATTATTAGTAATATTACATGCAATATATAATATACAATTATATTATTATATAAAATTATATTGTACCATAATATTAGACCACAATGTATATAATACACTACTATTAGTATTACATAATATAATGTACTCTATCATAGCAATTAAATATATTTAAATATAATATATATATATACCAATATATAATATATTTGTATTATATATATATATATTCATATTCACATATATATTTATATATTCACATATTTATTCCTATATATTTCTATATAAATATAAAATTAAATATAAAATGATACATATATATATGTATTTATAATGTATGTATGTATATATATATATATATATAATAAATACAAATAATATGTATTTATATATACATATATATGTATATATTCACATATGTATTCCTATATATTTATATAGAAATATAAAAATAAATGTAAAACTGTATGTATAAATATAAAATGATACATATATATATGTATTTATAATGTATGTATGTATATATGTAATAAATATATACAAATAATATATATGTGTTTATATATACATATATATGTATATATTCACATATGTATTCCTGTATATTTCTAAATAAATATAAAAGAAAATATAAAACTATATAAATATAAAACTATATATATATATATAATATTTATATATAAATATAAAATAAATATATACAAATATATTTTTGTATTCATATACACATATGTATTTATATATTCACATATTTATTCATATATGTGTGTGTGTGTTTGTGTGCATATGTATATGTATTTATATATTTATTTTGGCATAAAAATGCTATTTTGAGGGTTGACCTGCATTTCCTGGCATGTCCTCTAGGGGGAGCACAAGGATCTACATGGGTTTCATTCATTCCTTTTGGTTTTCAAAATTATTATTATTGTTATTATTATTACTATTATTATTATTTTTATTATTTAAAACTAGCCATTGAAATAATCACATTTACAAATCTTTTGAGTTCAAATGCATTGTAATATTGCCCCAAAGGGATTGTATTTTAATTCCCTATCTATCTCTATCTATCTATACACATAATACTATCTATACACATACACATAATAAAATGAAAATATGTATATATGTGCGAGGTTGGGGTGTCCACTTACACACATACATTCCTACTTCCACAAACAGCTTTAGCTCCCACTACTTCCGCCACCACAGACATCCCAGTGTTTCTTATTCTCTCCATTGGTGTAAAATTTGCATGACCCCGCCCACTGCCTCTCCCTTAACCTTTTCCTATGCTGCACAGCAAACAGAGAAATTGATCAGCAACTGAACATACTAGAGAGGTTTGGGGAGAATTCATCTTGCTTTGTTGTAGATCCTGGGATGTATAGTTCACTTGCAATCTAAGAACTGCACTTGCAATCTAAGAGCTCCACCAACGATGGACCTGGAACAGACTTGGCACACAGAATCTTCATGTCCAACAAAAAATACTGGAGGTCTTTGGAGGGTCTTTAGAGGAGTTGTAGTTCACCTACATCCAGAGCACACTATGAACCCAAACAAGGATGGATCTGGACCAAACTTGGCCTGCATACCCGATATGCCCAAATTTGAATCCTGGTGGGTTTTGAGGGGAATTGGCGAAGACATTTGGGAGTTGTAGGTACTGGGATTTATAGTTCATCTGCAATCAAGCTGCACTCTGAACTCCACCAAAGATGGAATTGGACCAGACTTGGCACACAGAGTCCACATGACCAGCAAAAAATACTGGAGGACTTTGGGGAAAATTCACCTTGATTTAGGGGAGTTGTAGTTCACCTACATCCAGAGAGCACTGTGAACCTAAACACCAATGGATCTGGACCATACTTGGCACACAGACCTGATATGTTGAAATTTGATTTGATCTTCTTCTGAATGCGCACAGACGACGTTGTCATCAGCATACTGGAATTCTATAACAGATGTTGTTGCAGCCCTGGTTTTGACATCCAGGGAGCACACTGAACCCCACTGAGGATGCATCCAAAGCAAACTTTGCCCAACACCACAAACTTTTAAGTACTGATGGAGTTAACATGGGAAGTCTGACTTGGCCACGGTAGTCCACGCTCTGGTTACATCCCGTTTAGACTACTGCAACGCTCTCTACGTGGGGTTGCCTTTGAAGACAGCTCGGAAGCTCCAACTAGTCCAACGCTCAGCAGCCATGATTTTAACAGGAGCGGAGCGCAGGGAGCATACAACCCCCCTGTTGCGCCAACTCCACTGGCTACCGATCTGCTACCGGGCTGAATTCAAAGTGCTGGCGTTGTCCTTTAAAGCCCTAAACGGTTCCGGCCCAAGCTACCTATCTGACCGCATCTCTGCCTATGAACCCACCAGGACTTTGAGATCTTCCGGGGAGACCCTGCTCTCGATCCCGCCTGCTTCTCAAGCTCGGCTGGGGACGAGAGATAGGGCCTTCTCGGTGGTGGCTCCTCGGCTGTGGAACGCCCTTCCTACGGACATTAGACTAGCACCATCTCTAATGGTATTCCGCAAAAAGTGAAGACCTGGCTGTTTGAGCAGGCGTTCGAATAATTAGTGCAATGATTGGTTAATGAACACTGGAATGGAACAATGGATGACGAATCTGGAACATGTTTTTGATGACGAGACGACAGTGAATGGGTATTGTAGTAACTGTTTATTAATTGTGTAATGTGTTAGGTTGTTAACTGTTTCTATACTGTAGCACTGAATTTTTGCTGTTCGTATTTGTTGTGAACCGCTGTGAGTCGCCTTCGGGCTGAGAACAGCGGTATATAAGTAAGGTAAATAAATAAATAATGATGGGAGTTGTAGTTCACCCACAACCTTGTGCAGTTTGGAAAATTAAAAAAATGCAATATCAAGTGACCTGGGAACCCAAGCTTGTTCCCAACATTTCTATATTCAGTGCATTGACATTTGTGTCCCTTTGCATTGCTTTGCTTTGCTTTGCATGGCCTCCCTCTCTCATATTGGGAACTCCAGTTTTAAATGGTTGCTGTCCCTTTAAGAGGCCTGAATATCTATGTATTTTTTTGTTCGTGGGCGGCGAATAGAAGCAAAGGAGGGGGGAGCTTTGCCTTGCCTTGCATTGCAGCAAAGGAGGAAGAGAGGCATTGCAAAAGGAATACTGATAGGGGGAAAAAACCTGGCTTTTGCTAGGCCAGGATTGCCCCAGAAAAAGGATGCCTGGCAGCTGATGCTTTGCAAAGGGAAGCCAAGATGGGGTTCCTGCACCAGCTTTACCTCCTCCTCTGGAAGAACGTGACCCTCAAACGGAGGAGCCCGGTGGGTTTCAAGGGGTGCCCCCCCCCCCATTTTTGCTTTGGAAATAGAAAGGATTTGTGCAGTTTTTTGCACAGACGCCTATATATATCTGATCTCAATGCAAAGATGGGTTGCTCCTCTTGAAAGGCTTGCAAGAGAGAATGCAAAAAAAGGGGGTTGCAAAGAGTGCATTTTGGGGGGCCTCTATTATTATTATTATTATTATTATTATTATTATTATTATTATTGGGGGTATAATACTTCATCCCTATGGATGTTGCAGTGTATATTTTGTGACCATATTATTATATTTGGGGGTTGCAATGGGTTCATTTGGGGGGAATACTATTTGGGGGTGAATTTTTGGGACTATACAATATTTGGGGGTTGCAATGGATGCATTTTGGGGAGTATAATATTATTTTATCAGTATGGATGCTGCAGTGCATATTTGGGGGTTTAATATAATGATATTTGGGGATTGCAATGGGTGCATTTGGGGGGATATTATTTGGGGGTGCATTTTGGGTCTATAAACTATTGGGGATTTCAATTGGTGGATCTTGGGAAGTATATTATTATTTTAATATTACTATTATTTTATCAGTATGGATGTTGTAGTGCATATTTGGAGGTTTATTATTATATTGGAGTTGCAATGGGTTCATTTGGGGGGAATACTATTTGGGGGTGAATTTTTGGGACTATACAATATTTGGGGGTTGCAATGGATGCATTTTGGGGAGTATAATATTATTTTATCAGTATGTATGTTGCAGTGCATATTTGGGGGATTTATTATATTGGGGGTTGGAATGAGTGCACTTGGGGGATATTACTTGGGGGTGCATTTTGGATCTATAAAGTATTGGGGGTTGCAATGGGTGGATCTTAGGGAGTATAATATTTCATCAGTATGGATGTTGCAGTGCAAATTGGAGGGTTTAATATAATGATATTTGGGGGTTGCAATGGGTGCATTTGGGGGATATTATTTGGGGGTGCATTTTGGGTCTATAAAGTATTGGGGATTTCAATGGGTGGATCTTGGGAAGTATATTATTATTTTAATATTAATATTATTTTATCAGTATGGATTTGCAGTGTATATTTGGGGAGGTATATTATTATTTATGTTGTAGTGCATATTTGGAGGTTTATTATTATATTGGAGTTGCAATGGGTTCATTTTGGGGGGGATACTATTTGGGGGTGAATTTTGGGACTATACAATATTTATTTGGGGGTAACAATGGGTGCATTTTGGGGATTAGAATATTTTATCAGTATGGATGTTGCAGTGCATATTTGGGAGTTTAGTATTATTATATTTGGGGGTTGCAATTGGTGCATTCTTGGGGGCATATTATTTGGGGGT